TAGCATTATAATTGTTCAAGGTCACCTTATGAGTGAGAACATATGGAACTCTGTTCTTTGCTTCTGTGAGAAATCACTGAGTATGATCGACTCCAAATCCATCCAAGTTGCTGCAAAGTCCATTTATTTGTCCTTCTTTATGGCTGCATAATATTCCATTGTGTGTATGTACATTTTTTTAACCCAGTCCAGCTTCGATGGGCAACATGGTTCCATGTTTTTGCTATTGTGAATAGATTTGCAACAAACATGCATGTGCAGGTGTCTTTTTCGTAGAATGACTTGAGTTCCTCTGGGTATATTCCCAATAGGGGAATTGCTGGCTCACATGGAAGGTCGATTTCTAGTTCTTTCAGAAATCGCCACACTGTCTTCCAAAGAGGTTGTACTAGTCTGCATTCCCACCAGCAGTGTAGAAGTGTTCCTTTTTCTCCACATCTTAATGCTTACAGTATACCGTATGTAAAACAGGAGATACTGTACTGGCATTATAGAATAGGATAAAGAAGAAAGAAGACACATTTTGTCTTATATGATACCTAGATAGGGGTAAATCAAACTTTTGATGTACCTTTTTTGGAACTGTATATGCCACCGTAATTCCTGCAGGTAAATCTGGAATTGGATCTGAAGAATTTTTCAATTCTTCTTCTGAAACCTCAGATACCAGCTCAATACCTGTAGAGTTAAATTTGAGCCTATAAAGGTCTTCAGCAACTTAATATGCAATAATTATTCAATCTCTATAATTTTATATTTATGTTCCCTACCATAAGTTTTTATGCTGCCATTTCAATTTATAAAAGAATTCCTGGCTGGGTGCAGTGGCTCATGCCTATAATCCCAGCACTTTGGGAGGCCAAGGTAAGAGTATTGCCTGAGCACATGGGTTCGAGACCTGCCTGGGCAACTTGGTGAGACTTCATCTCTACAGTAAATCAAAAAATTAGCTAGATGTGGTGGCACATGCCTGTAGTTTCAGCTACTTGGAAGGCTGAGGGGAAGGACTGCCGGAGCCCAGCAGGTCGAGACTGCGGTGGGTGTGGGTGTGCCACTGCACTCCAGCCTGGGGGACAGAGTGAGATTCTTAACTCAAAAAAAAAAAAAAACAGAATTCCTACCCCACTCATTATCTTCATGTATTATCTCTTCTTCTTCTTGTACAATCTCTTGTTTGGGCAGTGCTGCTACCTTTTTCTGTGGAAATCGAACAGTATTAAAGAGTTTTTACTCATTCTCAGTTCTCTAAAGCATTAATCAAGAGTTCAGACAGGCTTTTCATCTTACCAAAAGAAAGGACTTTCATTTTTGAAGCATGGTGAATAAATTAACGTTATAAAAATGCAGAATCTGTTTATCTTGTGTTCCAAAACGGTTTCTACTTTTTAAAGTTACTGTCCTATGCAATATGATCCCTCAAATATTCTAACAGATTGTCGTATACCTTATATTCTTCCTGCTGCTTCCTGCAATTTCTGTCATCACACTGAGGATTTGGCTTCATGGACATAGTAGGAAAAAAGTCCTGCATTGCATTGTAACCAAGGTAGAAACTAACAGTACCAAAATTTAATAGTAACCTAGAAAAACAAACCAAAATAGACTTAAGGAAAGAAAGAAGACCATAAAAGCCCTAGAAGAAAATAACTGAATTTTCTAAGGAATGACTTTGGAGTAGGCAATGATTTTTGTAACGTGCAACCCACAAAACAGAAATATTCTATCTTGTTTACAGGGCCTGGCTCATAGTAGATGCTTCAATATTTATTAAATGAATGAAGAAAAAAAACAATTACTCCATTTCATCAACTGTAGAATGCACTATTATTTTTGAACCTCTAATAATGATAACATGTTGGGTATTAAAATTTGACTTCCCTTAGATATAGTACTAAATCTAATTAATTTTTCAAAAGTTGTATATATGACTTAATTTAAAATGTACAATCTTAAATCTACAGCTCAATAAAATTTTATACAAGTCTTCCATGTAACCACCACCAACCAGATGAAGATACCGAGCATTTCCAGTATCCCATAAAACTCCCTGTGCCCCCTTCCCTTTTAAAAGCTTCTGTATAGAAAAAAAAATCACGAAAAATGACAAAAGGAAAACTATTTGCTAAAGCAAGTTCTTAATATATAGCAAGATAATACAAAAAAGAGCAAAGGCTATCAGCAGACAATTCACAGAAAAATGTAAGTGTTCAACCCTTTTCAAAAATAAGTAAAAATAAAATGCCTTTTTTTTTAACCTACAAATTGATAAAGATGAAAGAGTATGATGATACCAATGATATCAAAAGTATGGGTGAACCAGATACCCCTACACTATGATGAAAATATAAAATCCTTTTGCAGGAAAAATTTAGTAATATTTGTCAAAATAAATATTGCATAAATTCAGAAATTCCACTTCTAAAAACTCATGCTGTAAAAATATCTGGTATTCAAAATATATGCAAGAAGTTGTCTACAGCATTGTTAATAACAAAAAGAATGTAAGTAGACTAAATGTCCATTACTAGAGGGGCTGGGTAACTTTGATCCTTCCTTAAGTGAATACTTTGTTAGCCATGATTAGTTTGTCCCTTTTTGTACCATACTATAGAATGGGCTTAAAGAAGTTTGTACAGGGTATCTGCTCTTACGTGAAATAGCCCTAGACTGTCACATTGAGAGTTCTTATATATGCTTTTTACAGTTTCTCTCCAAGTAGCTGATACTTCTCATTGATGTCAGGGTGCCCCTTGTATCATGCTGCAGTTTATTATTCTGGAGGCTTAGGAAACATAACTAAGCTAATTAAAGTTGTAAAATGAGGGAAAATATAGCCTGAATTAGGGAACACCTAAAGGGACTCTCCTTTTAGTACAGTGTGAGTTGGTTCATAAACTTTGGCATAAGTTTTAGATGTAGAGAAGCATTTTTCCTTATTTTTATAGTTTAGAGTGTACTGCTGCTGGATATCTATTTTTGGATAGCAGAGGTACCCAAAAACAGATTTTGAAAATCTGTTTAAAAATACTTTTTAGGCCGGGTACCATGGCTCACACGTGTAAGCCCAGCACTTTGAGAGGAAGAGGCAGGGCAGCATGGTAAGACCTTATCTCCAAAAAATAAAAAACAATTAGGTGTGGTGGCACACACCTGTAGTCCCAGCTACTGGAGACTGAGGCAAGAGGATCGCCTGAGCTCAGGAGGTCAGAGCTGTGGTAAGCAGTGACTGAGCCACTGCACCCCAGCCTGGGCAAACAGAATGGTACCCTAACTCAAAAAAAAGTTTTAATATTTACATTTTATGTAAATTATTGTACACTGAAATGCAATATAAGTATAAATTTGCATGAACATTGATATAAATGTTCAATTACATTTGGCTCATTGTAAATTACAATGGTTAATAGATTCAGATTAATTTTAGTAAGATTTAAGACAGAAGAAGCAAGTGTGTCTATGCCTAAGTCTCTACCCACTGGTCTGACTTGCAGAGATTTAAATCACCTGGCTAATGCTGCCTAAATAAGTATACCAGTACCACCCTATAACTGAATAAGAGCTATTGCAAATACAGGGAATATCTGACATGTATGAATACGTACACACACATATTAACATATGTAATACTAACTTAACAGTACACATAAATAAAAGTACATGTACACATATATCAAATAATTTACACTATATAATAGACATGAATAAAACATACATAAATATACATAAATAAAAACATCTAAAACTATTACAATATAAATAAATGAAATGGTTGATAATTTCAATTCTTGAAATGCTTCATGAAATATCCTTTTTTCACCAAAAGCATGCCAAGGCTATCCAGAAAACCAGCCCCCACTTACTTTAACACATTTTGTACCAACATTCCAGCAACCACTGCCATGGTGGTAGGAAGACTGGCTGCACAAACACCTTCCCGTTTCAGAGACTTTTCGTCAATATTTGCAGCAACCACAAGTGGTGGAGCACACTACGTAAGAAGAAAAGAGAACACATTTTAAAACAAGGATGAACACGTATGAAATGTTCCAAATAGTAATCCATCACATGCAAGTTTGTTTTTTCTTTGACTTGCAAATATTCTAGAACCCAACAGTGAAAAATCACACAAAAATAATGCATACCGCAAAACAAGCAGATTCTCCAGGAATTATGAGCTGGATGTGCCCGGAAACTGCATTTTCACTGACCCCCGATTCCATCCATGTTTGTCCAAGTTCATTACAAGCCTTAGCAGAAATGGTGAAACACAAGGAAGACAAAGAGTAAGAAGTAACTGACTATAAATCATTTCCATAAAATTCGGGTTTAATTGAATGGACTACCAAGTTTTTTAATTTTCAGAATAAGAAAAGCTACACATAATGTAATTTTATGGTAATTGATATACTCTATTTAAAGTAAGCTGGCAGTATTTAGGAAGCAGTCAGTAAATATTTATTTATTAAACTGAAGTAGTGCGTACTGGAGTTCTTTCAGATCAATGTAAAAATTCATTTCTTTTTTTTGTACATATTTGCTTTTGTTGTAACAAAGCAACGTTTAAAACTGAGCAGCCCGCACCTTTGGGAGGCTGAGGTGAGTGGATTGCCTGAGCCCGCGGGTTCAAGACCCGCCTGGGCAACTTGGGGAGACCTCATCTCCACAATAAATCAAAAATCAGCCGGGCGTAGTTGCGCGCGCCTGTAATTCTGGTTACTCGGAAGGCTGAGGTAGAAGGATCGCTGGAGCCCAGTGGATCGAGGCTGCGGTGGCCGGGAGCGGCCACTGCACTCCAGTCTGGGCGACAGAGTGAGACTCCAACTCAAAAAAAACCAACAACAAAACTGGGCAGCATCTTTCCTTTCTAGTGAAACAAAAATTGAAAAATAACAAAAACAAAATTACAACAGAGAATATCAATTCCAAAAAAGACCTGTAGGTTCTGCTGATTCTCCCAAAGAGTGGCAGGGCTCAGGCCATCAGTAGGAGATAATTTATTTTAAAAGTGTCATCTTACAGTGCAAGGATGCTGTTAAACATCACAATTAAACATGCCAATATTGTCAAAATGGTCACTTAGCCCACCCAAACGTCTCAAGCCCATCCTCTGTTGAACGTCTAAAACCCCATTTGAAAGTGTTCTTTTTTGGAAGAAAAGACAATTACATGTTGCTAAACGCTCACTGTCCATATGCACAGAGACACAGCGTCTGCTCTGAGCTCAATCTAAGCGAGTCCTACACAGAAGCCCAGCACCCTCCAGCATCCAGCAAAGTGAGGGGAGTGGGTTTTTCCTTCTTCCCCCCAGGGCCTGGTGGCGGTGAATCCACACAATTTTTGTTGAGGCAGGAAGAGATGAAAATGAATTAGGAACAAAAAAGGGGTAGAGACTCTTCCCAGTGTATTCTGCTTGAAGTAAGCTGGGAACTGTGGTGCAGAGAAGAGACCACGAGGGGGAAAGAAGCTGCAATTGCTCCCAGGGACTGGATGGCTTTTGAAAAGGGAAGTGGAAGTCCGTCGGTGTTCCGTCAGCCGCCTTCTCCTTCATCCTCCTCGCCTTCTCCTCTTCATCATCATCTTCAGCTTCGTCCGCGCCCCTTCGAACCCTTCACCACGACCACCATCATCTCACCTCCATTCCCTTCTTCCTCATTCATACTTGGAGCCGCGTGATGCTGTGATGGACTGGCCCAACATCATCTTGGAGGATACCACCTAACTCGCCTGCACCTGCATCAGAACGGGCAGCAAAGTCCCGGAAACAGCTTTCTTGTTCCTCATGCTGCCTCTCTCGCTGTTGATTTCATTCCGCGTCAGACTTGAACATCTCGTCAAATGCTTTCTAGGTTTCCAGTTGGTTTCCAGGACTTTGAAGAACGGGCCACCCCTCTTATTCAGATGAATTTCTTCAGAGAGAACTTTATCTTCAAAGTAAGAACTTGCATCGGAATAGAAATCTATTCTGTAACCTGGCTTAACATCTTCCACTTCTATCACTTCAACTCTGGTCAAATAGTGCAGTGCGTCTCTGCCCTCCTCCCCAAGCAGTGTGGACGCTTGCTCATTTTTCTAAAATAATCACAACAGCAAAAAAAAAAACCCCAAAAAACAACAAAAAAATCATGTGAAAAATTAAAAATAATTCAAAAGAATTTTCTTATTTTGAGGAACCATGACTTTAAGCAATTTATACGTATGTATATATTTACACAATAAAGTAATAAGTTAAAACCAATGTTGGCCAAGTATTACTTTATTTTAAAAATTATACACCAGCTGGGCTCAGTGGCTCAGCCTGTAATCCCGCGCCTTTGGGAGGCTGAGGTGAGTGGATTGCCTGAGCCCGCGGGTTCGAGACCCGCCTGGGCAGCGAGACCTCATCTCTACAATAAAATAAAAAAAAAATTAGCCGGACGTGGTAGCGCACGCCTGTAATTCCGGCTACTCGGAAGGCTGAGGCGGAAGGATCGCTGGAGCCCAGCAGGTGCGGCCACTGCACTCCAGTCTGGGCGACAGAGTGGGACTCCAACTCAAAAAAAAAAAAAAAAAAATTATACACCAGAAGTATTTGCTATCTTATTGTTTCCTCTGCTAGCATAAAAGAGAGTAAGATACATCACATCAGCAAGGCGAGACAGGTCCCACAGCTATTAGAATAATTTTTAAAATAGGCTAAGAGAACACTAAAAGGGTTTAAATTCAGAACTATTTTTAGGATGGGGATTATATGCTGATAGACTATACAGGAAAATAGAAAAATCCATGAGTACAACATCTTACACAACAGGAATACTCACTGTATTTATTGTCATTCGAGCTTCAAAGTTGTCCACACAGCTAAGAACTAGATCAACAGGCTTTCCTTCTTCTAACCCGCCGTTACTAGTCAAAGAAAATAAATTTTATTTGGACAAAAGATAGGATACAAAATACATTTGAATACATTTGACTTTATTCAGTCACACATTTACTTTCATTAAATGTTTGAGTATAATTGTAATACAGTAAGCATGTAATAGCACAGACCCCATATATCGACTATATATATAACATCAAGGATACTGTGGTATTACTTCTTTGACAAGGAGTATAATACAAGGGTGAAACAAGTATAGTCTGTTCACAACAGTTACTTCTTCCCTATCAGCTTTCCCTGATTTTTATTCATGCTTCACTACAAATATAAATGTAATAAAAGCTAATTGAATGCAATTCATTATTTAAGTGGTCTTCTGTTCATTTCTAAAGAAAACCACTTTCAGGTAGAAATTGAATTTAAAACCCAGAACTTAAAATTGAGGATCCCATGTAATGTAATTATAATTTACAGAAGGTTTTTGCTTGTTTGTTTTTTAATTGTCTTTTGGACAATATATACTTTTTAACGAGAGTCTAATACATAAAAATTACACACAAAAAAATCACTATTTTTAATAACAGAAAAATATGTATCAATCTGCCAATTCACTGGATTTTCTAATAATACTTGAGCTGGATATGGCACAAAATATTCATTAATTAAAATTTTACCTTATTCTACCCATGAAATGTTGAAAGTTGTCCACTGTGGTTATATTGTAGTCGTATACTTCAAAAAGAACATCAGGATTAATGTTCCTAAGAAGGAAAATAAAATGCTCATGAAGAGTACTAGTAGCCATAGTAAGAAAAAAGCAGAAAGGAAGAGTTGAAATTTCAAGTTGAAGAGCATTTACACACACACACAAAATTATCCGGATGTGGTGGCATGCCTGCAGTCCCAGCTACTAGGGAGGCTGAGGCAGAAGGATCACATTAGAGAAGCAGAATTCAAGCTATTCAAAGAAAACCCAAAGTCCTCCTCTACCACTTTTGCCCCACTTCAAGAACTAGGTTCAAAAACATGTAGATTGTCATAAGGGTTACAAATATGTTCCTGTGCCAACTTGGGTCAATGTAAGTGGTGGAAATTAAGACTTTACCATTCCTGGTAGCTACAGTTCAGCCTGACTTCCTTATTCAATTCAGTACAAGTATGTTTGGGGCCACAAAGAAATTTCCTAGAGTGGTCAGACACGGTGGCTCAAGCCTGTAATCCCCGTACTTTGGGAGGCTGAGACAGAAGGATTGCTTGCGCCCAGGAGACTGAAACCAACCTGGGCAGCAGAGTAAGACCTCATCTCTACACACACACACAAAATTATCTGGATGTGGTGGCATGCCTGCAGTCCCAGCTACTTGGGAGGCTGAGGCAGAAGGATCACATGAGCCTAGGAAGTTGAGGCTGCAGTGAGCTGTGATTATGCCAGTGCAACTCCAACCTGGGTGACAGAGTGAGATCCCGACCCCCCCCCCCCAAAAAAACGTTTTCCTAGAGGAGGGGTTGGCACAAACTGGCCCAAGGCCAAATCTGACCTACTGCCTGTGTTTCTGGTAAGGACTTCAAGCTAAAAATGGTTTTTACATTTTTACATGGTTGAGAAAAGGACCAAAAGAAGAAGAAGATTTTATGATGTATGAAGACCACCTGGCCTTCAAGGACTGAAATATTTATAATCCAGCCCCACACAGAAACAGTCTGCCAAACCACGTCCAACAGGTAAGAGAATTCTTTGTATACATGAAACCTGCACCTTATTAAAAAAAACCCAGATCTACTTACATTAGGTTAATTCACTCAAATAAGTAAGATTTCGCTGAAAATGACTTCAGTTTCTATTCCATTTACCTCAAAGTATGTTCTGCTGCTTGAACTTTACTTAATCCCGCTTGATGAGGTTGGAAGAAAAGTCTGTTCATGTTGGCCAGTTCCACCTTGTCATAGTCAAAGAGTAGTAACTAAAATGAAAACAGTGGTATTCAGTGAAAAACACAACCATAAAAATTAAAATAAAGAAAAACTAGTGAACTTCACACGTGATGGATTTAACAGTTTCACAATATTAGCTAACTCTAAAACACTAGGTGCCACATACTAATTCATTGAATGCGCATGTGAAATTATTTCAGAAAGGAGGCACCTAGGGCACTTGCTTAAAGGCCACTAATATGTGGAGAATATGGGAGTCCAGTTCAGGCCTTCTCAATCCAACATCTGCACCCTAATCACAATGCTGTGCTGCTTCTCTAGATGACTCACTCAGAAATTCACATTCATTCCACTTCATTCCGACTTTTAATGTGACAAAAATCCTACCTCATTCCAATTTTTTGCTAAAAGTTAAGACTCCATTGGATAAAAGAAGACTTCAGGTAAGGTGAAAACAAATGTGTATGACCCAATCTATACCCATGACATGACTAAAACATTATTCTAAATAGAATTACTAGCCAGTTAATTGTTATTTCCTGCTATTTACTTAGGTCTGCTTCAAACAGCATGTCTGTCTCTTTCTCTCTCTCATACGCACACATGCATGCGCACACACAATTTAAAATGGCCAGGAGATTACATTTATCAGTAAGAACAGGTTAGAGCCAAGGATTTCCAAAGTCCCTTCCTGATCTAAAATTCTGTGAATCCGTATCTGTAATACAATTCTCAACATCCTAAATTTAACAATAAAAACAAAAATGTAATTTGCTTCTCAATACAGGAACTAAAGAAAAAAAATCCCAGCCATAACCAGATAACCACCAGATAACCCTTAATATCTCATTGACGCCCTCCATGATAACTTTCTCATACTACTTAGTCTCCAAAACCGAGTTTATTTAAGCTTATTCAATAAATGTTTATTAGGCCAGGCCAAGCATTATATTTGAGTTGCTGCCTCAGAGTTTGTTTATGAGTAATTTCCAGAAAGCACTAAACTTGGGAACAGGAGGTGTAAATTCTAATTCTTAAAGCCTTTATCCATAAAATAAAGCAGCAGATCTAGATCTGGTGACCCCAATGCTTTCAGGGATAGGAAATGGGCTCTGGGTTTTCCATCCTCTGCTTTCCTATTTAACCCCATGAATTAGCTTCCTGTGTGTCTGTTTTACAAACTGAAGACAGACTCACTGAAACTTACCTCTGCAGATTCTCGGATTACAAACTTGAGTGTATACTAGAATCACTTAGAGAGTTTTTATAAACACTGACACCTGTGCTTTATCCCCGGAGACTCTGATTTTACTTTTATGGCGCCAGTCCGGACATAGGCTTTAAAGATTTCACCGGCAATTCTAATCACAGCAATGTGCGACGACTGCCGTTCTGGGTCTTTGCGGCTCAGAACGTGGCCTGGTCTGGCGGCACCCGGCACCGGCGTCACCTGGAGCGTGCGAGCGGCGGCGCGAGAGACCCTCCCTGACGCCAGCACGTGACCACCGAGGCCCTTGTTCACCCGCAGGCCGTCCCTCAGCACGTCGGGGCTACAGCCTGAGTTCTCCTTGCCAGCAAGCTCCCAGTTGATGCTGAGACTTGGCCCTTGGTCCAGATTTGGGACCAAGAATCCAGCGGTTCCTAAAGTGTAGTCCCTGGAACATCATCAGGACCATCCAGTAACTTGTTAGAAACGTCCGTTAGGTCCACCTGACACGTGTAGAACCAAAGCCGCTGGAATAGTGTTTGGCCATCTGGCTTAATAAGGCTTCCAAGTGATTCTGATAACATACTCAAACTTGAGAACCACTCAGTGATTTACTTTTAACGTTTTTTGAGTCAAGCGTTCATTCCATCACCCAGGCTGGGGCATAGTGGCACAATCGTGGCTCACCATAGCCTTGACCTCCTGTCAGGTGATCTTGAGCCTCCCAAGAGGCTGGGACTACCAGTGCACACCACCACACCTGGCTTATTTTTTGTCGAGACTACGTCTCACTATGTTGCCTAGGCAGGACTCAAATTCCTGGGTTCATGCAATCTTCCTGCCTTGGCCTCCCAAACTGCTGAGATTAGAAGCACAAACTACCATACCTGGCCTCATCTCAACGATCTCTAATATCCCTAGTTAATCAGCCAGGGTACTTAAGTCAGTTATAAACAATTTTGGGCTGGCTTTTGCAAGCATTTTGAAAGATACCGCTATTTTTAATAAACAGTTTTCATAGTTTAGTATTGTCTTTTCTATACTGACATACAAAAAGCCAATTTTGAAACCACTTTCTTTTCAGAATTTGGGGTGGACCAACATATTAGAAAGTACTGATAAATTTGGGGGGAGAATGCTTGCTTTAGCAAACAACAAATTAAAGAGCATATAATTCAACCACTATGTAAATAACACAATAGACTTTGGCTTTATAAATCTAAGCCTGGGAGATTGAATTCTGGTATAGGAAGTTATTTTTCTTTCCTACACACAATCCAAATCAATTTTAGAAAAAAGTAAAAAATGTATGGATTAAAAAAAATCCAGAGCATTTTCTAGTTCAGATTCAAGAGTAAGAAAGGTACATGATTTCTGTTACTGCTGGTTAGACAAAAACTATAATTGTGTTTGGGAGTTTTTGATTGTTTGAGGTAATATATAAACATTGTAGGCTTGTGTTTAAAATATAGACATTCTGGAAAGAAGGCTATTAAATGGATAAAATATGTGCGTAAAACATCAAATATTTATGAAACACATATGTTCGGAAACACTCAGGATAAGTACACCACAAATCAATAAACCATTAGTAACGTGGAAAAAAAAATCCTACTTTGTACCTGATTTACTGCAGGAGTGACAAGTTCCCTTTACGACAGGCAAAGAGAAATGTTTTTACCTTACCAATGCCACATCTTGTCAGCATTTCAGCAGTCACACTACCAACTCCACCAACACCTACTACTGCTACAGCAAAGGTACGGATTTTCTATGAAATACAAAATTGTATGTGTTCATTAATAACTCTTTACTGACTATGTCACCAGAAATTATTTTCATTTGCTAAAATTGTCTTCAAACTTAAAAAGATTTACCATACCTCATAGTTGCTGACAATTCCCATGCGTTTCAATGCCATCAGGCGGCTTAAAACAAAGAAAAATGTTTTAAAGCTTACAATCTTCCAGTTAGTAGTGACAAGATAGATACACATCGTCAAAGAAAATAAGCACCCAAACGCAATCATTACTATTCCTTTAAAGGACTCTTACAGTTGGCTTTTGCCAGATGAAGGTAAATTATCTGAATAGCTTTAAAAAAAAACCTTCCAGGTGTAGCCTATGAAACAAGCTTTTTTCTAAAGCTCCTCATATAGTCTAAGGTGCAGCCAAAATTGAGACCTACTTAAATGTTAAGCGTCAAAGTGAAACTTCAACTTTTCCTATGCTTCGGTAGTATGCATAAATATTTAACGTTTAACACTCAGGTCCCAACCATCAGAATAAACTCAAGCTGGAGTTCCAAGCACTTGTTGTCTCTTCCCACAGTGGTGACGTCTACTTTTAGGAAGACCTATTGTATGCCACGGACCCCGAGAGGTACTTTAACCAGTTACTGCTAATCTGTTATCTCAAGTTTTAAAGTATATATACACAAATATATACATACACGATTTAAATCTGCCTGTATGTAAACAACATACAGGCAGATTTAACAACAAAGTGTAAACTAACGGAAGCATGTTTCTGTATTTTCTCACCTTCCAAATAAGGGTAAAACAGCAGTAGCAATTGCACAGGGTTGTGGTGACAACGCATGTGAAGTGCCTGAGCACCTAGTGAAAGCTTAGTAACTGCTTGTTGCTACACGCACCGCACAAGTCTTGTACAAAGTTTCCCATGTGCAAGCGCTGTTCTATGGACTTTACACACACACACACGTTTGTTGTTGGGTTTTTTTGTTTTGTTTTGTTTTTTTTGAGTCGGAGTCTCACTCTGTCGCCCAGGCTGGAGGGCAGCGGCACGCTCCCGGCCGCCGCAGCCTCGACCTGCGGGGCTCAGGCGATCCTTCCAAGCAGCGGGAACCACAGGCGCACGCGCCACCACACCCGGCTAATTTTCTGATTTAGGGTAGAGACGAGGTCTAGCCAAGTTGCCCAGGCTGGTCTCGAACCCGTGGGCTCAGGCTGTCCTCTCGCCTCGGCCTCCCAAAGTGCGGGGACGGCAGGCGTGAGCCACCGCGCCCGGCCACGTACATTTTTTCAGTCCTCAGTGACCAAAGCATGTGGCTACCATCCCCCCTCTGCAGGTGAGAAACCGAAGCCAAGAGGGTCGGAACCCGCCTAAAGCGGCCCAGCCGGCAAGAAAGCCGGGGTCCGGACCCA